TGAATGAAAGACTTGGGAATGCATATCAAAAGCATGGCGTTCTGGCGGGTCGCCGAGTAGCTACGCCTTTTATTTGTAGCGAAAGGCTTTTGTGAAATGATACCTGAATGACAGTTCATGCCCGCCATTTTCTATGAGTTGTTATGATCTGTGATTCGTGCCTTGTATATGCCCACCCTGCCGTGTCCTAATCAAAACAGCCCATGCCCACAGCCAATTTGAAAGATGGTTCGTTTCCTTAGCCAATATATACAATTCGAACTACACTACTGTACAACATACAACCTTTCATACATGTTCACATACGCTGTTCCATCGCTTCATCTACGCACCAAACTTCTTCTCAGCCAAGAAGCTCGGCCTGCGAAAATCCCTCTGATCATCCTTTCTTTGATCACCAAAATGCATGCGAATCTTAGGAGCTCTTCCCACAATCGCCTCTTTTGGTGCATCCGCCTCTTCCCCGTCATCCTTCTCGCCCCAGTGCATACGAATCCTAGGGCCCTTGTTCCGCAGCATCTCCTCCCCCTCTGCTCCGTACGTTAGAGCCTCGTCTCGCAAGCGTTTCTCTCGTGCACGAATGTCCTTGAATCGGCCTTTGAACTCTGGATCAGCGTATGCCGGATCGACAGGCGCTCCAGAGTCGTCTCTCTCTGGAATGGTTGGTTTCTGGCCAGCCGCTTTCTGATTCTCGATCTTGAGGAGACTCAGTTCTTGCTCGAGTGCTTGGATTTCAGCCTGTAAGTGCTGTTTCCGGCGGTCTGAACTGAGGATGTCACCTGGTTGTAACTTCACCTCGACTTGATTAGGATCTTGCATGTGTAGGAAGCGGTTGATGCGCTCTTTCTCCTCGTCGAGCATTATCATCATTTTTTCTCGCTCGTCGGCGTATAGTATGCGGTGCCAGAAGCCTCTATCGAATTTGCCCTCCAGTTCGCGATGCAAGTCGCCCATGAGGTAGAGGCTTCCGGTCATGACGATGGGGTTGTGGTCTTTGGTGAGAAATTTTGCGGCGCAGAGGGCACGGAGAGCACTTCGATCGGGGATGGCGAGACCTGTGATGTCTGGTTGGACCTTTTGGGCAATGTCGAAGAGCGCTTGGGGGTCCATTGAGTTTACCCAGGGCATACCGTCGACGGGTCCGAAGGAGGTCGTGATGACTTTGTCTCCTGGTTGAAGGAGGTGCTTGAGATAGGCTTCTGCGTCTTTGCCTTCCGTCATGGCAAGGACCCAAGTAACCGGCCATCCTCCCGCGGGTGGACGATTCCGGCGATCCAATTTCTTTCGACCCTTCCTTTCGACAAATCCTTTGAGTTCGATGGCAGCGTCTTCGTTGTGCGCTCCGTCCACAATAATGCTCCTCCCTGCGTTGTTTGCGCAGCCAAAAACTGGCGTGACCGATATCTCCTGTAGTCGTCCAGGAAAGTTGCTAAACCGCTTTTTTCCAAGTTCGTCTCCAATCAGCTCTTCTGTGATACCACCGAGGTCCTTCATGACCTCTTTCACAGCTACAATAGCCAACACTGCATTGTCGCGCTGAAATGGCCGTAGAGGCCGAGCGAAAGATTGCCAGTCCTCTAGAGAATAAAGGTGTTTTCTTAGTTTGGGTGTATCTCCGTACAGTCGAGGGCCTGCACCTATCTCCTTGGCGTAGTCGTCGATGACGGCCTGGATATTTGCTTCATTCTCTGGATTAACAATGTAAGGCACATTTGGTCTAAGAATACCAGCCTTGTGTTTGGCAATCTCAGTAAGTGTGTTTCCCAGAAATGACTCGTGATCGCGCGCGATCTTAGAGATGACAGATATTGCTTGATTATTGAGTATGTTGGTGGCATCGAGCGTGCCACCCATGCCGACTTCGACAATGCCCACCTTGACCTTGGCATCGGTGAACATGGTGAAGGCAGTTGCCGTCATGATCTCGAATGGCGATGCACCAATGTCGTTTGCTTGGTTGAGTTGTATGAAGTGGTCTTCCACCCTCTTGAACTTCGCTTCCTCAACCGGTGCATTGTTGATCATGATAGAGTCCCATCTGTGAACTGATCAGATGAGTAAACCAAGACCACGTGACTAAGAGTATACCTATTTACCAAATGTGGCGTTGAAAACTTGCCTGCGCGGATGGTCCTGCGTTTCAAAAGGGTAGAGGCATAGTGGCAGATGGAGCCTTTGCCATTGGTGCCGGCAACATGTATGGCTTTCCAGGGAAATTCAGTAGTGCCCTTGAGCAGCTGGGCTATTCGCTCCAAGCCCGGCTGGATCACATTGTTCATGTTTGCCGCTTGGCATGTCCTGGTCACCGCCAGAGACGTGCCTGTGTCTGAGGCTGTTCGCAGTTTTGGTAAGATTCGTCGACAATACAAATTTCTGGTGCAAACGTTTCAACGACACCCCGCGTAAGCGCGAGACAACGCCGGAGCTCGAAGAGCGGTGGACGCTACAGGCAACAAAGGGCTAGGCAGATGTGTGTTGATGTCTGAAACTCGTTCCTCTAGATAGTCGTGAGTCAAATCAGGCACTGGACAGGAAGACACGAGCGACCATGGCCCTTGCCGGAAGTGGCAACTGCGCTAGGCGGCGCTGCCGAACGTGTTCTGTGTGTGGATGTTTGCTCTGCAAAGTATCGTCGCAGCAAAGCGAGTGAAGCGAACAGTGTACTACTCGTAAACGTGTCGCGTGTGTGCAGTGAATCTATATCAGCTTGCACTGCGCATGCGCTTGCGACTGGTATCATATTTCGCTGCTTTCAATCTCCGGACTCTAGCCTCATCCCAGGTCGTTAGCGCCGTTGCCTCACATTCTGGGGCTTAGTCCGTCTCCTACAAACCTCCGTCAGGGCGCGTCCGCATCAACACCACATCTCCACCTCATCACTCCCGCCCCTGCCCCACAACCAACTCTGGCGCAATGGGCATCCCGATCGGTTGGAACATTCCGCGCGAGGATGCGACGAAGAAAGACGTTCTGCACGCTGATGTGACGGGCCAGCGATCGCCCATTCGGCGGCGGCGCACAGGACGCACGAGATCACCGACATCGCAAAGTGCTTTCGACGCGGGCTTCTTTGTATCAAGTCATGCTGAGCGTGTTGCGCGCCGCTCGCGTACGTCTCGCCCTTCGTACACTTCGCTCTCTCAACAGCGCGTTGCACCACCACCGGTCCCCGAGGTATCGAGGCCGGCTTACGACTTGTCGCGAGACCCGCCGAGTCTGCAGCGCGAAGATGCCAGGATTCGGCGTCTGCATCTGCAGCATCTCATGGATGCGCGTGCCGAGATGGACTCCGCCAGCGTCGACGGCGAGCGCTCCCTTCCAGCGCTTACGCCGGGCTTTGCGCCAGCTGCGGCTTCCCGCGAGGCTGAAGACGATGCGCACAGCTTTGGCAACAGAGCTACCACAGTAATCGTCGAAGACGGTTCATTCGTACTGGAGAGAAACAACCGTGATGGATCATGGCGACGGCTTAGCCCTCTCACAGAACGTCTTGGGGCCGAAGCTAGAGACACTGAGGACGACCACGAGACCAGCAACCACAACGCCGTCAGCTTTCCACCACTGCGTAGGATGGGTCGCCGCAATATTGCTGATGGGCCATTGGCATCGAGCGCTTCGCGCGTGTCTCAGAGCCCAGTCCCTACCTGGGATGGCCTGGGTGACCGCCAGCGCAGCTTTAGTCCATCTGGCGAGAGCTCGCAATGGGACACGTTTTACGGCACCATTGTGCCCGACGCTGTTGCCCCTACCGCAGAGTCGTCTTTTGCCTCCGCCGCCGCATCAGCCTCGTTCTCCAATTCCCACCCTAGCTCGCGCGCCAGCAGCTCCAACACATCTGCATCGTCCTCGCACACACATCTCACGGTGCCATCACGCCGCGAATCACCACCAGTGAATGAGCAGTTCATGCGCGCTTGCGATACTTCGGATGACGATACTGCTTCGGATACCGAGGCTGAGGAGGACTCTGCTCCGACAGCGGAGACGATCAGACATCGCTACAACCCATATACACTGCGGCGCAGAAGCCGGCCTTCATACTTTTCCGACGAGCCTCCCCAGCGCGACACGGAGCGTTACTCTCGGAGGGTAACAGAGCGCACGCGCGCCGCCAGCGCATATGTGCGCAGCTACTACGGGCCTGGTTCCCAGCGCAGGCATCCGGACGGGGATCTGAGCGGCACCCAGCGGTCTCCACGAATGCGCGTCGCTTATCCGGATGCTCCGCGCATGGAGCAACTGGACGGGCCTACAGACGGACCCCTCTCGGCGAGCGATGACGAAATCCCTCCGGTGGCCTCGTCGGACTCTTCAACTCTTGACCAGGAGCTTCGCGAAGCACGTTCACTGCTCGAGCGCCTGTCGCGCCGCGTAGATATTACCGACGACTTCTGGGCTTCTGTGGGTCTGACGCGCTCCTTTGCCGATCGCGTTGAAAGCTTCAATGAGCGCGAGCGTCTTTAGATTTAATTATTCCTTTTACTAGATGGACTAGCCGGCTGGTCTTGTATGTTTCGTTTTCTTCTTTCATTCTTTGCGAGGCGGTTATCATATTCATAGGGCATTGAGCGTAGGGTATGGGTGCTTGAAGGTGGGGTTGAGGGTTAATCAATACCATATCAGGTCATGAAAAGGCATGTTGGAAACAGGTCATTATATGAAAGGGGCTTTATTGAGGTATCAAGGCTACGACGGACGTCCAAAGCCAGGTTGGGTGGCAGTTTTGTATTTCTAGCTGCAGCGTCGCTGCCCCTAATGAGGAATGAAAAGCATCCCGCGTGTCATGAACGCGCTTTCTACTACGCTCTCACCTCCCAAAGTTCTTTCTCTTCCGCTTAATTTGGCGTTTGATGTTCGCACCAAAAACGTTGATGTTCGTCCACGCCCGAGCCTCGCCCCTGACTGCGCCAAAACCAAAAATCAACTCTGTCCACCCACCACCTCCACCTCCGCAACCAGCAATCAAAGAAAGCAAAAAGATACTTGCGTGAAGCAAAAAGCATCTCAGGCGGGGCTCGAACCCGCAGCCTTTGGATTCAGATGAGAATGTGCAGTAGAAGTCCAACGCGCTACCATTGCGCCACTGAGACCAGTCGATGGAAATATGAGACTTCTGAGCGTTTTTTCAAATTATCTGATATTTATCGCACATTTCGTAAAGAGTGGTTGCTGAGGAAGCGTAGAAGGACGTTTATGCCCACAGTGTTGGCCTGAAAGATGACTGGGTGAGATTCGACGCGTCATCTGGGAAGTGGGGGCATGGTTGGTGGGGTCGGGGCTGGAAATTTTCTTCTAGTAGTGGCATGTGAGACGACGGGGACAAAGACCGAATGTACAATACGAGACGGCGGGCCTGCATTGTTTTTCATGGAGCGTTGTCTACAATTAATAGGATACTGTGTAAAAGTGGGCTTCTTCGAGCTCTGGGGTTTAGTAATTTGCTTGATATCCTGAATGTAATGCAGTGGAAGAGTTTAGACGACAATCCGCACTGTCGAAGTCGCTTGCTGCTTGACATGGCAATCATGAGGTATGCGTAAAGTCGTGGCATGTTTGCTAAATTTGATCAAACTCCACTTATCTTTACCATCTCTTTGAGTATTTCATCGTCTAGATCAGGGAGCTTGCCATCCTTTTCCACCTGCTTCTCCCAAGCTTCATACAGCTGTAACCTATTCGACTCCCAAGCCACCCACGCAGCAGCTTGCAAGAAACAGTCCGTGATGTCATCCAGCTTCTTCATCTCCTTGCCTGTCTCAGCAACGCTACCGTCATCCCCACCCTTGACTTTCTTCTTACGTGGCTTTGCTAGTGTTGGTAAAGCAAGAGCCTCCCGTGCTGCTGTTGCGCCGATGCCAATCTTGAAAGATATATTTGGTGCGGATTCTGGCGTGGTGGATGCGGTCGATGCAGGCTCTGTAGCCAGCCACGAGCGTAATATCGCGATCTTGGCCTTCTTTTCTGCTTTGCTCCGTGGTATCTTCTTGCTTGATGCCTTATCGCCCTCAACTTCAACTAGCGCATCAACAACCATTTCCGAGTCCGTCGTGCCCTCCTTCTCTGCCATTGCCTGCGCGTGCTGCCCAAGCCAGAACTGACCCACGCGCTTTGGATCGACTCCAAACGTCTCGTAATCCCTCTTCATTTGGTAATGCTTAGGCTCAGGATTGTTTTTCTTGTATTCGACCTGTATTGTATGCAACGTCGTCCACAGCATAGCCTCAAGAGTATTGACGCGAACCGTCCATTGCTGAATCGCACTGCTGCTCGCCGATCGCCATCGCTGGCTCTCAATAAGGATGATATCCGGATCACCTGCCAGCACGTGCCGCGTGATAAAGTTGTGAGCCGCCCGAGATAGGACGTACAACGAGTATGGATCCACCTCTTCACCTTCATCTGCTTCGATCTTGATTCGACTCAGAGGGTTTGGCAAGGGCCGCCGCAATTCACGTGTCGCGTCGGCTAGATTGAGTTTGTCCCATTGTATGACGTCCATTGTCGGTTTTCTCGCATCTCTTTCGGAGTAGTTGACAATGACGTCGCAGAACGCGAGGTTCTTGATGCCCATGTCGATGCTGAAGACCCGCAACCCTCTTTGCCGGTCCGACTTCAATTGGTCTTGCCATTCCGGACGACGTGAAAAGAGGCGTGAATCTAATATGTCGCGCTTCAGGCGGTGGGAAAGGACATCTTTTGTTCCAGACGATGCAGACCCGATACGCGTGAGAAGAGTTTGCAGCGCCTTCGCTGTGACAGGTCGGGGCTTTGGGGGCATTTTGATGCTCCTGGAGGCTCTCTCTTCTTCCAAGTACCCTTCTTACGACGGCTGTGGCGCACAAGGTGCACTGCCGAACAGATGGAAGATGCTGATCGAAGTGCAATGCATCATGACATCCTAAGCGTGTCGGTAGCGGACGCGTTATGCTCGCTCGAAGTCAACCCAATAAATCTTGACATCAGGAGTGTTATCAGGCGAAGCGTGTAGTTAGCATTGAATGAGGTTGTGAATGTGAGAAAGTTGGAGCATGGCGAAATTGGATGAACGTTGTGGTGAGCGGACTGGGCACGTGACATGACAACAATGCAGATGATATCAAAATATTTTGCATTTTGATGTATGAAGTACACGAGTATGTCGCTTCTCAAATTGAGGTTGAAAGAGTACCCTTGGGTTCATTGTATGGCGCATGCAAGGCTGGAGCCACTACGAGCGCTCCTCCACGCTAGGAGTTGCAGTGCACTGGCGCCCTCCACTTCCTCCACGTGACGGACCTCTCGTCAAGATCTCCTGGTGATGCGCTTATCATTTTCTCTCCCTATCCCTCGCAAATCAAATCAAAATCAGGAAATAGCGGATCCGGCCCAATATTCGTACTCGCCACGGCCGTCTGAAAGTCCTTGACCTGCGCACTCTGTTGCGCGCTCTTACATTGATCTGTCACTATCATTAGCAATCCTTCCATTATGCACAAACACGTCTTCTTCCAATAAAACATACCTTTCTGCTGATCACACTGATTAACAGTGAGCTGCCTCCTCTCCAACCCAAACTCCATCTCGACATCCAACCCCGTCTCATTCACCTCCACCATTCCCCTCCCTCTATTCCTATTACCGTTCCCTTGATTCTGATTCTGGTTTTGATTCCTGTTATTCCCTCCATTATTGTTGTTATTATTCCCATTCCTGTTGTTCCCTCCATTATTCGTATTCGCCTGATTCCCCCCATTTCCATTATTTCCATTCCCATTCGCAGCCCCCTGACACGCCTGGAACTGGTTATCACAACTCCGTTGCGCCGCCGCGTCGAAGCTATCAAACGTCTGCCCATCCACGCTAAATGGCCGCTCCGCATCGCCAGAGTTTGTGATGGCCGATGCGCTCGCGCCGCCGAGGGCGGAGTCGAATGTTTGCAGGTTGGACAGCTGTCGGAGAAAGAGGGTGTGTCGTGGTACGAGGGACATCATGTAGTCGTCTGTGATGAGGGCGGGTTGGGGCGAGGCATAGGAGAAGGCGGGGAGCGCGAAGAGGAGGGTTAAGATGGGGGTGGGGAGTGGTGGAAACATTTTCGATTTTTGTGTGAGTTGGCGAGAGCGTATTAAAATGTATATGCCGTCGTAGTTCGAGTCGTTCGAATGGAAAAATCCAACGTCCAGCGCGGTAGAAGAAGATGGTGTCGTGATAGTCGTTGAAGTCGCAGACTTGAGGTCTCCAACAACGCCAGCGGCCCCATGGCGCATAAGTAATTCCTCCGCGCAGCACATGCGACTGTGGGAATTCTCATGCGCATGTCGTTTAGGGCTATGGGCGCGTAGCCGGGTTGGGAAGTGTGGCGATGCTGTTGCGACGAGGATGAAACGCGAGACATCCCAGTTCCCTGAGCTGCCCCTGAACATACGGGGCCATGAACTTCATGCATGAACAACGTAACAAACAGGATTAGCATCGATGAGATCATAAACAGCTTGCAGCTACTTTGGAGATAGGGGGTGCTGATTATATGCTTTGATTGGATATGCTATGTAGACAGAAAAGGAAACTAGTTGATGCCGATTACAACTTTTACAAGCGACCCTGCAAATGTAGAGTCGCTGGATAAAAGGAGTGGACGAGCAATTGAAATGCTCAATACCTGATTGTAACACACCTAATGCTATACTTGCGTGGCCAATCTAATCGAAACCTGCCATCAAGACGCTCGTAGCGCCCCATGCCAAAACAAAGATGCGAGATATGAGTCTGCCATGTACAATTCGTGCGGGGATATCTCGCGGGTTGAAGCACATGATCAGCCTCAATATCTAATCCTCAAATAACCGCTGAGATGGTCGTGGTATCGTGAGCGGCCCGTCGCAGGCCGCATATGTACGTTTTCGGCTGACAGGCAGCTTAAAAGTTTGCCGCAGCATTTGGTCGACCGCCAGGGTTATGGTACTGCTCGAGGTTCGACTGGAATGGCGAGGCACCAGTTCCATTCTGTGGCTTGTCTCCAAGAGCAGCTCCGGTGTTGAGGGTCAGGTCATCGTCGTCGACAGTGACCTTGTTCTGACGCTTCCTCATGCGCCAGAAGACGAGTGCGATGCCACCAAGGAGGAGTGCACCGCCGACGCCACCGACGACACCGCCAATGACCTTCTTGTTGGACTCGCTGAGGCCGTCTCCGCTTCCACTTCCCTGCTGCGATGCTGGGGTTTCGGTGACCTCGATGCCACCAGTGGTGATGGGGACAGAGCTGGTGCCGGTTTCGGTCACCTCAGAGACTTGGCCATTGCTCAGAGTCGATGTTCGAGTAACAGTAAAGGGCGCAAGCGATGTGGAGACGAGGGGACTGGTCCTGACGACAGCACTCGAAGGAGCCACCGACTCGGCAGGCGTCGACTGAGGCTGATTTCCGGCGCTGGAGCGTGCTGTGGGAGTACCTGGATTGCGAGATGAAGCAGGTGGAGCTTGTGAGGAGGGCTGGGGGTTGTTCGAGGTTGGGGGTGGGTTGTTGGACGTAGGAGGATTCGACGTCGGGCGGGGTGTTGTTGTTGGCGGCGCAGCGGACGACGCCGGAGGGTTATTTGTGGGCGACGAGTTGCCGTTGCCTGTACCAGATGCCTGTCTATTTGGGCGTCAGTACCGAGTCTGTCTCGTGTGTAGGGCAAGGTGGCGCCTACCTCTTCACGCCGTGGTGGATGTACTCGCCGACGCCATCAAGGTTGAAGGCCGACGACAGGGCAACAAGGGCGCAGAGGACCAGTAGCCACGAGTTTCGCAACATGTTTATGGTGGTGCTGGAGTGAGGTGCTGGAGCGGGAGGGAGCGGAAGTGGTCGCAGTGCCGGGCGGGTCCAGGTATTAATGCGACGCGTTTCACCGCGGATCAAGGGAGTCTATGCGATGCAGACGTGTGGCCGCGAGTGAGTGTATGGCAGTGGGAGGCGTGTATGGCGACGGGTGAGCGACAGACGGCGAAGAAAAACGAGCGAGTGGGCTGACACAGGTCACAGGGCGTGCGAGTGGTGGTGGATTAGTGGTGGTTGCAGTGCAGCGGGCGACGGCGGCCAGGCGGCATTTGTTTCAACGGCTACGCCAAATTTAGACGT